GCCTGTCATAATCTCAGAATAACAAATCTAGACATTCTTTTTCTTTAAATGTTAATGCCACTTTATACATCTTAAAAGCACGTTGAGCAAAAGAAGCTAGACACAAATGAGCACTTATGGAATTATGCCATTTATATGAAGTTCTAGAAGGCAAAACTCATACACCAACATGACAAAACAGAATATAATGGTGTCACTTGGGAGTCTGAGGGGTTGGGGAGAGGAAGAGAGAGGCTTCCCTGAGAAGAGGCATGGTGAAATCTTGATGAGATGTGGATCACATGGATGTATACTGAGTTAAAACTCACGGAACTGTATATTTAAGACCCATGCATTTCACTCTGTACAAATGAAATACCAACAAAAATTAAAATAAAATATCATGGAGGGAGAATTCAAATACTCACCCTGTTTCTGCAGTGTTTTTAAGAGACCTCTGTCCAGAGAACTCTAGCCTCAAGTTCTTGATATAAGCAGAGAATTTGGCAAAGATGTCCATTCCAACAATATTTGACTCAGTATTTTGGTGAAAGATTTAAATAGTTGGGAAGACATAAGACTTCTTCAAAATTTTCTTCAATCTCTTTTGACATCATTTTGACTTCATTGCTGAAAGTTACAAAGGGTGGGTAGCTCCTGGAAGCTAAGTTCTGTAAGTCAACAGTCTTCCTTTTCAGGTAAACAACTGTGACACTAAATACACGAAGAGCCTCTGGGAAAATGGTGAGTGAGTTTCTTATGCTTTCACCGTCACTGCAAATACCTGCTTCTTCTTTGGTATACTATAGCATTCTTGGAGGGAAGGAATGTTGTCATCATGTACATCTTTTCTTGAGCCAAATATTTCCCTTTCAAGATTGGAGGTGTAGCTTAGCATGCACAAGACCTTCGGTTCTGTCCTCGACCTATTTCAGGTGATTCACTTCATCTTATTTTCTTCTTCTATCATGTTGGGGAATAATGACTCCATTAGAAGCTTATGTTGAAGCAAGAAGGGAAGGAAGAGTCTGCACTGATATAAAGGTCCTCCTTTACCTTTTCTGTAAAGGCCTTATCAGCAAGAGATATATTTTAGCACAGTAATATTAAGAGGGTCTGCCAGGTCATGCATAATCATCTTACTTTTCTTTCTACCTTTGTCACTACATTTCTGTCAGTTTTTAAGTCCTTCGCCAGCACTGACTATTCAGTTGACCTGTGGCATTTGACCCCTCCATTCTTGCTCCAAGGCCTTTCATACTTCTTGTTACCAGTTCTAGGATGTTTTTCATTCTCATCTTTCATCTGCTTAACTCTCAAATCTTGTGTTGGTCCACTCTTCTGCTTGTTCCTCAAGGAAGATTTCCCATGTCTCACTTATTATATGTGACTACTGAACCTTTGTAGGACTGCTGTGTATGGTTGTGCAGGTTATTTATCTAAACATGGGTTCCCAGCTGAGGTGATACATGGGCTGAACTCTCGTGTATGCTCCACTTATAAAGTCTTGCACATGGAGCAGGGCTTTATCAACTGGAAGGAAGAGAATCTTTTTTTTTTTTTTTTTTTTTTTTTTACATTCACCATAGGCATGATGTGCTTGCCAAACTGTTTCTACCTGTGGCAGTGCTTTTCTAAATAGAGCACAGAGATACCATATAGACTAGTCAGCCTTCATCTTATATTTCCCTTCATGCAACAGTTATATATTACCTTTCTTTGGTAATTATTTGTTTGTTTCTTCCATTAGCCATAAGCTCTATAACAGCAGGTACCTGTCTGGTTTTGCTTATTATCAAGTCTTCTCAGAAGCTGGAACAGTGTGTGGCACGAAGTGGGTACTCAGCAAATATTTATTAAATTTATTAAATGCATGAATCTTTTTTCCTGGTACTGAGGATTGAACTGAGGACCTTGTGCTTGCGATTTTTTTGAAGAAAAGGACTGTGTCTTAGTTTCCCTTTTATCACACTCCCCCTACCCACCGGGAAGTACCATACTGCTTTGCATATAAATGGAATTCAGTAAATTCTTGAGTTTTTCTAAATGTTCAGAGAAGCCATATGATGTTCTTTCCATGGAATACTAGATCTGCAAGCACATGGGATGTATGACTGATGATGAATAGCTGTATATTTTCAGATAAACTGCTCAATGATCCTAAATTTCCTCCTCTGTAAAATATATATGGTAAGACCTCTCCAAATATTGTGGGTTCCTGAAATCCTTCATGATAGAATTCAGAGTTGAGAAATTATGACTTCTTAATAGGTAATGATACTTTCACATATTCAATTAATATCATAAAAGTAGTACTCTAAGTAGAACACTTGATATTTTATGTTTCTTAAATTAGTGACAAAGACTTTCTCCTTGATCAAACTTCAGTCATGTCTGAGCCCTTTTCTCAACTAGGTCTTGTCCTTGAACCCTTTCTTCAGCTTGCCTAATTCATTTGTAGCAGTAAGTCTTTAGAGAGAATCCCTCACCTGTGATTATCTCCTCATAATTTCCCAACTACTAACACCCAACTCTGTTCTTTGGCTACAATCCCCAGTGTCTATGATATATTTAGTTGAGCCAGATCTCTCTCCCCTATTATGTTAGTTTTGACATCTATCACAATAGTCTTGAATAAAGTCTCCCTTACCATTTTAATGTTAGCATAAAATTTTCTTTAACATGAGTAATAATGAATATAAACTAATTTCTATTTACCATGCTTGATCCATCTGAAAATAAATCCTTCCCAAGTTGTAAGAAACTCTTTAAAAATAGTGTTGCTTTGTTACAGATAACATGAATGTTGGAAGGCATTTTCCTCGCATATGTGTCCTTTATCTAAATATTCAAAACTTTTAAAATTTGATGACTAGAAGTTGACTCCCACTGCACAGCTCCCACTGATCCTCACCCCACACACAGGATTTGGATCCGAAATGCTTTTGTCCATTCTTTACTTCTGGAGCTACATTTCATAAGCATTCTCCCACAGAGTTGAGTGTGTTTCCACCCACGAAAATATCATACTAAAGTACATCTTACTTTTTTGGTGGCTTACTATGTGCCTAATGACTCTCTTGCCAACTGAGAAATGTTTAGAATTGGCACACTAGAAATGTTCGGTAATAACTTCAATTATTATTAAGACATTAACTTTTTTCAGCTTTCTTATTTTTCCTGAGCTTTCATTATAAAAATGTTATTCCTTGCTTTACCTTCCTCTTCTCATTCTCAATCCAGTTTTATCTTTATCTTTAAAAGGAAGAGTGGCTTGAAATCTGCATGTAACATAACTGATATTCTCTCATTTAAAAATTTTTCTGATATTCTTGTTGTAAAGGTATGGTGCAGAATACTAGAATATTATAGATGTGACATTCTTGATTATTCATTGGGAGACATAATGAGGTCTAAGAGAGAAAATATATACATTATCAAGTGGGTGCTCAGAAATGTTAAATCCCAGCCAGGCTTGGGAGGTTGTGGCAGGAAGATTCCAAGTTAAGAGTCCATCCTGGGCAGCTCCATTATTAAGGGGCGGGGAAGGGCTTGGGTTCAATTCCTAGCAGGGGCGGGAGGGGGGGACACACCAAAAACCCACCACCACCAACATAAAAAATAAAAGATCATTTTTACCAATGAGGACACTTAGACCCAGAAAGAGCCAAGCAATTATTCAAAAAGTGGGTAGGCACACCTATAGTCCAGCATTTGAAAGGCTGAGATAGGAATATTGCTGCAAGTTCCAGCCCAGCCTGTGCTACACAGCAAATTCAAGGCCAGCCTGCACTACCTAGCTAGATAGCTAGGCCCTGTCTCAAGAAACAAAACAAAACAAAAACAACAATAACAACAACAAAAGTGGGAGGAGGAGGTTGGTAGGTTTATTAATTGTGGCTCCTTTAGTTATAGGGCTTAATGGCCCACCCAACAAATCCAAAAGGATCACCGAAGTATTTGGCATAATGAAGAGCCTAGGTAGACCTAAATGATACAAATATTTCAGTAAACTATGATAATTTCGCTGCCTTTTTCTAAAACGTTATTGTATCTGATAAAGAAACATTTAAAATAAAATAAATATTGCCAGTCGCTTTAGTCACACAATCTCATCTCTCGGAAATGATCATTGATTTATAGGCCGTGGCTTTTTCTTGACTGAGCATTGATAATCTTTTAATAATCAAAAGAGCACTCGGCTGTAACTCACTAGTCTAGAATTTAGTAATTTTTAAGACATTTCTAGATAAACCTTAACCAATATCGGCATTAAGTGGGGATAAATATTTATTGCAATAATTATGCTTTAGAAAAAAATATTTGTTAAGGATTTGGGTATCATCCAAACTATGATTCGGTAGCGTTTTGAAATCTACACTGGGCTCTGGAAACCTGGTAGAGAACTACCTGGTTTGGCGAACAAGAATTCAAAAAGAGGAGGGGCTTGGAGGAGGTGACTCCCAACATCCGAGCGCGAGAATACGCTTCGGCGCATGCGCACCTTTTGGTGGGTACTTTCCATTTCCCAAAAGGGGGTGGCCAGTGTGAAGTAGGGTACGGTGTTTGAATTTCTGTCTTCAAGCAAAAACGAAGGTACGAACAGCTCCATCAAAAACGGGAAAAAGTTATCCTTGAAGTCCAATATTAGGACCCTTTGCCTACACAACTAAAGCAAAAGGTAATTTATTAAATTTCTCCCCTCCCTTGGGACACTGGTGGTCTAGTCCATTTCACAGACTTTCGCTCCTTTGCAGCAGGTCGGAGATCGAAGGATTGAGCCAATTGCGGCTGAAACGACTTTGGAAGGAAGAAGGGGGTGAGGGAGCATCCCTTTGAGTTCTGCCTCTTCTTTTCGAGGAGGTGGTGAGGAAGGGGTACCTACGATATACTGCCCTCTTAAACCAGCGGATCATACACCTCCGTGTAAACTGCCGGGAGGGCGGCGGGAAAACGGCAAGACGGCTGTAGGGAACGGGAAGGAGCCAGGAAGCCGCGCAGGAGGGCGCGCGCGCGCGTAGGTGGCGGCGGCAGTGGCAGCTTTGCGGCAAGCTCAGGACGAGCTTGCTTGACGGCGGTGTGGCGGAGGCCCCGCCCGAGGCGGCAGGAACCTGGAGGGAGGCGGAGGAATATGTCCGAGAGGGAAGTGTCGACAGCGCCGGCGGGAACAGACATGCCTGCGGCCAAGAAGCAGAAGCTGAGTAGCGATGAGAACAGCAACCCGGACCTCTCTGGAGATGAGAATGTGAGTACAGCCCTAGCAGTCACCGGACTGGAGTGGAGTTTTAAGTTCTTTTAAAACTAGGCGCGGGGGCGGGCGGGCGGCAGTGGGGGAGGGAGAGGTGTCACCCTGTACTGAGGAAAACGCGGGCGTGCGGGAGAAAACCGAACTTGTCCCCGTGGAGATTTTGAGCTGCGACTTGGCGCAGGAGAGTGGTTTAAGTGGTTGCGGGGTCTAAGAGATCTGCTCTGAGATCTTTTTTGCACATGATGGAGTGTATGGGCCTTTGGGGGGAGATTGCGGATCTGAGATTCAAGTAGTTTAAAAGGCACGATAGAAAAATTTCTAAGAAAATTAGAAATAGGGAGCAGAGTCTGTTTCTGTTTAAGGACTTTTAAAGGAGTTTGGGGATTGTGTCATTCTTCCATCCCTGTAGAATCTTAAGGCTGGGAGGTATAGCTCTTCAGCTTAAAAGTTTGGGTGACTTTATTAAAAGGGGTTTGTGTCTGCTCCTGTCCTGTCCGTGGAGATGGGATGTGCCTGGGTGGCTGTTTGTCAGTAGAAGGAGGTGAATTGAGAAGATCGTCTCCTGACTTGGAGGGGGGGAACCACTTTTGATTGAGGAATGGGAGAGGGCCATTTCTCTTTTGAAAGTTTTTAAAATAAAGGCGAACGACCTGGAAGCCGTTAGATAACGGTGGTGAAGGCATATGTATTTAGGTGAGGGTTAAATGGAATGTGATGATTAAATTATGTACAGTATAACAAAGTACTTAGAGGAGTACCTGCCCCACACTACTGCATAAATGATAATTATTTATTAAAATTATTATGTGTTTTGTGATCACACAGCACTTCTGGCCCCTTCACATCCTTAATAGGCAAAAATATATCGAAAGGGTCAAACTTATTTAGAATGAGGAAAAATTCAGGGGACAAAAAAAGTAAAAGTTACTGTCATTATTATCTTGGTGTGCTCCTGGGACACCTGGGGAGTCTTTCCAGATGTTTTAAACGTACAAAGTATATTTAGTTATATTTAACAAGGTTACAAAGTTCATTGTGAAGTTGTAATATATGTTTTTAAGATTTTTTTTTTTAGGACTGGGGTTATAGCTCAGTGGAGAGATCTTGTACCATGTGGGAGGCCTTGGGTTAGATCCCTAGCACCTCAAGGAAAAAAAAAATCACAAATTTAAAATGTACAAATATATGTATTTCTTTAGCACATTAAGTAAAAAGATCTGGCAATGGGTTTGACAGTAGTGATGGGCTAATTTTTCAAGATGAACAGCAACTAACTATGGTACAGGTTGGCATTCCTAATTTGAAATTCCAGAAATCTCAAAACTTTTGGAGTATCACGTTGGCATTCAATGTTTTGGGTTTTGAAGCATTTCAGATTTCAGCTTTTTTGGATGAAGGATGCTCAACTGGTAAAGTATATACAAATAGTCCAAAATTCAAAAAATGCCAGAATCTGAAACACTTCTTTTTTCAAGCATTTTGAGTAAAAGATAATATGATATAATTTGTGATTTCCATTGACCCCAAAAAATCATAATTATACTAACATTGGCATGTATGTCACCTTCACTATAATAGAAATGCTAATTTTCATTTAAAAATGATGAAAATTAAGGTGAAATTTTCTTTTTCCCTCTTTTACTTTACATACCCTCCAAATTCCATCCAAGGCCTAACCTAAGATATAGGTTAGGGAAAGGAGTACAGAACATTGGATAAAAGTAAGTTCAGGAAAAAATGAGGGCAGTGGTTTTATTCTTAAGGTATCTGAATAATAATAAAAGGGCATAAGCAGGTGGGGAAAGAATGCTTTTTAGTTGGATAAGATAACCTCAGCAGTTGCTACTGTTAAAGTGAGTCAAAGATTTGAAGACTATACTTTAAATTTATTGTATAATTTGCCATTTTATCAGACTTTTAAAGATCATATACCTTCCAGAAGTTGTTAGCTTCTGGACGAGTATTTATGGTTGTGGTTAGTAAGATGGGGAGGAGGGGTTCAATCTGGATGTTTGTTTTTTAAGTTACTGTGGCAAGATTAAGGAACAAATTACTTTCTGAGTCTTCCTTGTTGGACAAATGAGGCTAGTAGTGCCTTCTGGACTTCTGGAGAAGGTAGGGTGGAAGTCGTCCTGGACCCATATTAGACACTCAGCAGGTAGTTTATTTTAAAGATAAATGAAAGCATTTTGATGGTATTACATTTCCATTTGATTCCGTCTTGATTTGCCTTTGGAAAAGATAGGTAAATTAAGTGGTCAGAAGTAAAATAGGCAAGGTGCCCAGCTACTGACAGCATTTTAAGTGGCCTTTTGATTGCCTGCTCAGTGTTTAGTCAGCGTAAAGAAGCTGGTGTATAAATGTTGAAGAGTTTTTTTTTCTTTTCCTTTTTAATTTCATATCTCCCTACTGTTAAGGGAATTTTTCAGGAAAAAAAAAGGTAATCAAACATTCTTTAAAATTTTATTCTTTTGAAGAAACTAGATGAATGTTATAACCAGTTAACCAGAAAAGTCAAAACAGTACAAATTATATTAAACAAAAAGAATGTAAAGAATTACAAATGGAGAAAAACTTTTTTCCACTGAAAGAAAATTATCTTTGAACTTTTATGGAGACAATTTGAATGTCTATTTATGTATAATTTAAAAAGAGTTGTATGATACTTTAAAGAAAGTAAAGAGGGCTGTAATCTGTTAACCAGCAAGCATGCATAGTTTTTTATTGATACATTGAATTGTTTTCTACACTAGATTTTAACTATGTAAATATAACCAGCAGGTGGGGAGAAACAAAAACTGATGTCAACCTGGGAATGCAACTGTAGAATTTTCCATTTCCATAAAGATGAATTACAATTATACTAAATTACACTTTTAAGTATTTGAATGCTTATTTTGTGCTACCAATCTACTTCATTCCCTTTTTTATGTTAAATAAGCAGTATGTTCTCGAATAGGGTATTTTTCACTATTTCACAAAGACATTTCATTTTGGAGCCATTTGAAATTTGAAAACCGTGAAGGACTGTTTGATATATAGTCTTAAGTGAATTAATGTGATTTTATATATCTTTTGACACTTCACTTAATTTTTAACTTTCTGTAATATATAAAACCAGCTTTGGGAAGCTCTAATTTAGAAATAGACCTTAAAGGCACGGTTTCCTACCCTGTGTGCTAACAGATGTTAATAAGCACTTCATGGGGGGTCGTTCCTTTGGAAGGAATTTGGGAGCCCAGTGCCCTGAGGTTACAGCTTTATATAAATCTTTTTATTTAAAAGAAGACGTTGGAATCTTTAATCAAAGGAGGTAGTGAAATCTTCTAATATTGAAAGGCTGGTAATATGTATTCTTGGATTGGAGGTAAGAAATGTTAGAAAAATTTTTAAGGTTTCCTGCTGTCATTTGTATATTTAGAAGAATTTTACTTTATGAAGAGTATCTACCAATGTAAGAATAATATTTCTTTAGAACTGTGAGGCAAATTTCATTTACAAATAGCAAAAAATGTAGAGGACTTTAAAAAAATTAAATGGTTGGTTATAAATAAGCAGAATCTGACTAACATTTTTTAAATTTACATGTAAAGTAGGAAGGATTAATGCTCCTGCCTCAAATGGCCACCTGTCTTCATCCTCCAAACTGAGTATCATTCAAATAAATTACAAAGACATATAGGTCAGTAAGATTTATTAGTCACAAATTTTGGGATTGTATCCCGGAAACCCTTACCAGTAAGAAAATAGGTTTCAACATTTCCTTATCAACAGTGCTTTCTGGGAAGATCTGTTAGGATTAAAAGATAATTATACATTAAAGTAGGTGGCACAGGCCAGTGTCTTAAGGCAGTGTTATGCTTTCTATTATCATATTTTGTTTTCATTCTTTTCTGAAATACAAAATATCTACAAAAATTCTAATGTGTAGCTGTATTAATTTTTTATCCATATTTGAAGGCAAGAAAAAGTAGATATTTTCATTTTTGGTACATCTTTGGGTCAGTCAGCATCTTTCCAGTACAAAGTCCTTTGCTGTTAAATGCAGTATTGCTGTTTCATGCAATTTTTTCTAATTTACTGCTTATAGGATGATGCTGTCAGTATAGAAAGTGGGACAAACACTGAACGCCCTGATACCCCTACAAATACTCCAAATGCACCTGGAAGGAAAAGTTGGGGAAAGGGGAAATGGAAATCGAAGAAGTGCAAATATTCTTTTAAATGTGTAAACAGTCTCAAGGTATGTACAGAAAGATTCTTTGGGCTGAGTATTAAGCTTCAGAATTACTTCTTAGTGGCATACATTTTCAAGATACTGTCATGTTTTAAATATTTTAAAGTTACAGTGTTTTCGAGATTTGGTTTGTTTTTGTTTGTTTCTGTTCTTGATAGTTTAAACTGCATATTTCTATTCCACGTTTTGTTTTTTGGGTTTTTTTGTTATTTTAATGTGTAATACTGAGCATTGAAAGCTGGCTTTGTTTTATTGTTTCTTGATTTAAATAAAAGATTTGTGAAAAGTTACTCCATGTCTTGGAGAAACTTAAAAACATGAGCCACTCTGACACCAGTTATTGAAAAGAGCTGATTGGGACCCATTAACTGAGAAGTCATTATAAATTGAAGTGGGCTGGGCATAGTGGCGCACACCTGTAATCCCAGCACTCGGGAGGCTGAGGCAGGAGGATCACTGTGAGTGCGAGACCAGCCTGGGCTACAAAGTGAGTTCCAGGTCAGTCTCAACTACATAGTGAGACCCTGTCTCGAAAAACAAAAAACAAAAAACAAAAACAAACAAAAAAAATTGAAGTGTATGTCTTAGTTTGTACAATTAAAATTTTTTTTTTTGCCGGGCGTGGTGGCGCATGCCTGTAATCCCAGCACTCGGGAGGCTGAGGCAGGAGGATCGCTGTGAGTTCGAGACCAGCCTGGGCTACATAGAGAGTTTCAGGTCAGTCTCAACTACATAGTGAGACCCTGTCTCAAAAAAAAAAAAATTTTTTTTAACCTTTGTGCTTCATTGTTTTAAAAGAAAAAGATAGGAAATTTTAAACATTTTAAAATATTATTTGAGGAAAAGAGAATTAGTTATTTAAATTATTGCATCCTCAGTAGCATTTTCACTTTATAAAAAGGATTATTAATTTTTTGTTTGTTTTTGTATTTTGAGACAGGGTCTTGCTATGAAGCTCAGACTGGCTTAGAACCCCCAGTGATCCTCCTGCCTCAGCCTCCTAAGTGTTGGAATCACAGGCGTGTACCACATGCCTCCCTCACGATGTTTATTTTAGATGTTTTCTTTTATATGTTCATTTTCTGCTTTTAAAAATTTGGGTTTATTTTTCCTGAGGAAAAAAATACACATTATCTCATACATATGTAAGCTAAAACTTTTACTAACTATTTAGTGTACCTTTTTAAGTTATGTTCAGGAAACACAAGAAGCTTTGGCTGGCTGGGTGTGTAGCTTAGTGGTAGAGCACTAATATGGTATTGCCTAATATGTGCAAGGCCCTAGGTTCAATCCCCAGCACTGCCAAAAAAAAAAAAAAAAAAAAAGCAGCAGTTGTGACTACATGGCATTTTCTTGTCTAGGTAGCAAAAATTAAGTGTGCACTGTTTAAATTATCTCTTCTAAAAGGAGTCTTATTATAAATGAGACTAAAGCTATCTTATTATAAATGTTTCATTAATAATTTAATAGTTTTAGATGCTCTATCTGGAAGATGTTTTAACTGCCATTTAAATATTTCAAAAGCTGAAACCTGTGGCTTTTCAGATGATAAGAAAATGAAAGCTGTTCAACTTTAAAAAAGAAAACAGGGCCTTAAAGTGAACCTAAAAGTTAGTGTTAAGTGCCAGGAGGTTGCTAGTAAAGTACTAAAGCTGAAAAATACCTCTCGCTTTCTCCGTTTGTGTCTAGGAAGGTATAGTCCATTCCTTCCAAAGTTCAGTTACTCTGTTGTTCAGTTACTCCTATTCATTATAAAACTTATCAGATTATTTTTCCTTGAAGACTCAAATTCAAGATTAATTATAGTTATCTCTATAGGAAATAGAAAGAGCAGTGACTTGAATAGAGTCTAATATGGTTCACTTTACAAGGGAGAAATTAAACTTAAAAGTGATACAGCCAAAGAAGCTATATTACCACTTTAAGGCTGTTTGCTAGATTTCTATTCCAGATTGTAGTGTCTGGATCTACCAAAATAACCCAATTTATTATGATTTAGAATATGGTAGGGTTTAAGAAAATAAAAAGCAGTATCAAAGTGTTTTCATAGGTAAGTAGTTATAAAACTTATCAGACAGAGTATTTTAATATGTGAAAACTGATCTAGTAGATCTTTTTTAGTTTTATTGTCAAAAGTAAGCTTGTGTATAGAAGATAATAGATTAAATTTTGGAGAAAGATGGGTTAAGGTTGGTTTAAGAAAGTGTTTGATTTTTAAGATATTAAATTTTCTTATTTCCTGAATATTTTTTAGGAAGATCATAACCAACCATTGTTTGGCGTTCAATTTAACTGGCACAGTAAAGAAGGAGATCCATTAGTATTTGCAACTGTAGGAAGCAACAGAGTGAGTAATAAGGGGTCTACTTGGCATTTGGTTTAATTGTTAGATATGTTGATAGGATACTGAAATGGAATGATTTTGAAGGAAATTTTGTATAGCTATGTGATCCTTTTGTATAAAAGGGAAGCTTTCAAGAAATTGTCAAGTTAAAACCTACTGTTCATGAAATAGGTTTTATATTTTTCTTCATACTTAGCGTAGTAGAGAGAATTTCTTTTTTAAAAGTGATTTTTATTCATCACTCTAGGATAAGAAATCTGTGATTTTTAAAAAGGTAATTACAAATTTACAAATTTTTGAAAAGGTTTATTAATGACTTTACAAATTAGAACATAAATCCAGTGGATTTAAAAAATAGTTTTGGAAGTGTTTTAATTATTCACAATAAACATTTTGAGTTTGATTTTTAAGGAAGCTGAAAGTACTATATCTTCAACTGAGAGAAGTGGATCAAAAGAACTGTTCTGGACATTTTAACATAAATGACTAGTTTTTACTTAAACAAGGGGTGGGTGGATTACAAAGATTTATTTATTTCTTATTCTGAATAAATGGAGAACAAGAGGATTCCCTTATGCTTTCCAGGGAGGATGGATAGAGCTGAACTATATTAATGTATTCAGAGAAAGAAATATAGAAAAAATAGATTAATTGGATATAGTTTGTCAACAAAAGTCACTTCCTCCACTCTCATCTCAAAAGGGAAAAAGGTGAATCTGAGAAATGTTCTGTTACTTAGTTAAGTAAATTAAATTTTATGCTTCTTTTGTTATTGTGCTAAAAAAATTCTTAGGTAAAAGATCATGGTTTTTAATATACCACTGGTTTCTTATATTTTTTTGTTTCCTCATGTTTTTCTTTTGTTTCAGTTAAAATTAACTTGGTAACAGGAGTTGCTAGTTCATTATTTTTCAAATGTCAGCATTTTCCTAAGCTGCTGCTGCTGCTTCTTCTTTTTTTTTTTTTTTTTTTTTTTTTTTTTTTCCTTTTCTAGTAGTTTAATAATTATAGAAACACATACTATCAATTCTGGGCTAAATCCTTCCTTTATGTGTTTTCTAAAATGTAAAATTTGGCTTTAGGTAGTTTTTTCCCGGGGCACTCCTTTAAGGAATTTTAATTATATTTAAGCGCTGGTGTATTTACTACTTGACAGAATTGAAATTCTAAATATTTGAAAATTAACCACAGAAGTTTGTTGGCTGTTTTTTCTTTCTCTGACACCTTGTCTCGCTATGTAGTTCGGGCTGGCCTTGATCTGTCTAGCCCTGCTGGCCTCTCCTCCTGCCTCAGCCTCTCAAGTGCTGGGATCACATGGTGTGCTACACTGTCCAGCCCAACCATTCGATAATAGCTTTTCTTGGTTTTCAGTCAAACTGTATGTTGTGTGACGTGTAGCTTAGTTCCCAAATTCTTTGAAAATAATAGTTCATAGGAAAAGTGATGTAGTTTCAAGAAAAAATTGAGGTTATTCTTTCCTAGCTGGCAGGTTAGCCCATTAATTACATTTAAATCCACTTTTTAAACATTAAACCTAATGGTTCACCACCATGGCCATAATAGCACTAGAATTGGTACAGTTTGTCCCTCTATATCCTTAGTGGTGCTGTTTTCTAAGCCCTCTAAGAAAAAAACTGTGTTATTTAAAATGACATTGAAGGTGTTAAGTAGTTGGAATTATAAAGTCTTACTTGTGCAGAATTATCTTGTAAGAAATAACCTAGCTAGCCATATAAACATATTTTTCAGAATATTAATGTGCAGGATATTTTACAAATAGTGATGGATAATATACCAGATATTTATAGCATTCTAATATGCTCTTGTTACATTTTAACAGGGTTTTGTTAATAACAGCTACAAGAACAATGGAAAATTGTATATAATGTGTATATTTTTAATTTTAGAGTATGTAATAAATGAAAAAGCCACCATACATGAAAAAGTTACTATTTGATCAACTGTGTCCAAGAAAAAAAAAATTCATTGTTAGGGAAATGGCAGACTTTTTTTTTTTTAGACTTTTTAAATGTTATTAATGATTTGTAGCTATCTAAAGACTATTTATAGCTGATATAAAAGATTATAAAAATTGTATGTATGGGGTATCAGGTGATATTTATATATATATATATATTATATATGTATATACACTCATACAGTATAATATTTAAATTAAGGTAAATATATCTGTCTCCTCAAATATCTATCATTTCTTTATGGTGCCAGATTCTTTTGTTAAGAATTTCTTTAAAAAATTATAAACTACAATTACTTCAGGGTTTTTACTTTTACTTGCTTTGAAAATTTGGAGCAGTTATATGGATAAAATATACATTTAAATAATTTTAAGTAGAAAGGGAATACTTAATATACTCTGGATATTGTGTAAAATGTGTTAGATTTTATAATGGCTTCTGTGAATTTGTGAGCTTAAAGGAGCTAAAAGCACCAGATTCTGGTGTATACTTAAGATATATAGTAATTGTGACTAGAATGTTTAAAAGTCAGAGTGGGTTTCTGTACTTGAGATGAAATTCACTGTATTTTTGTTTTTATTAGGTTACCTTATATGAATGTCATTCACAAGGAGAAATAAGGTTATTGCAGTCTTACGTGGATGCTGATGTATCCTTTCCTGGGTTTTTAATATCTTTGGTCAAAGATGTTTACTTGCATGAAGTGTACCAAGACTTTTCTAAATTAATTTCCCAAGGTTACGGCCCTTCCTGAACTATATAGCACTGTTCCTTCAATATCACTCACCCAAGGGAATTTTTGTATCTGGTTTTCCTGATCCTTAGAAATCTTTGAGGTGGATGTGGTAGGTAGTGCAAATGGCTGAAAATAGGAGCATTAGAAATCCAATAATAGAAAATGTTAGTGGAGACCACTTAAAAATGTCTGTTTCTTTGATCTTGCCTAGAATTTTATAATGTAGTTTTAATGATGAACTTGGGGGTGATCAGAGCTGTGTCTGGCATTCATTCCAAATATTTAATCAATAAAATCTCGATGGAAAATAAGTGTGCAATTTAGCGAATAAAAATTGCATAATGTGCTTTACAAAGAAAAGGAAAAATTGCAAAATGTGAGTTATGAAGAAAAGGAAAAAAAAAAAGTGTGAAAGCCAGAATAATAAAAGGGGGGCAATAAGATGTTTCTTTTGGATTCATTTGAAAAACTTAGCAAACAAGACTAGGTAAGGACATTCAGTCTTCTAGATGATATGTAAAGGAGTGCACTGTTGCCATATTAGGAAGATCTCACACATTAAGAAAAAGGGAGAAAATGGAATTGTTATTTACTTTTGTTTACAAATTGATAGCAAAGTTGAGCTTCAAGGCTGGCCACTTGCTTTTATAATTTAATTGTAACAACCTTGCCCACTTGTTTACATATTGTCTGTGGCTGTTTTGGCACTATTAAGTAGTTTACCAAATAGTAACACTTTTGAAAAGCAAATTATTTCTTAACTGTGGCATTTCTTAGGCAGATGAAAATTTTTATACTTGTGCATGGACCTATGATAGCAATACAAGTCATCCTTTGCTGGCTGTAGCTGGATCTAGAGGAATAATAAGGATAATTAATCCCATAACAATGCAGTGTATAAAGGTGGGTTTTCTGGTTAAATTGTAGAGCTCCTTTTGAATACATACCCGTGAAAACCATGTTGAATTTAAAACTAATGGAATCAGTGACTGTACAATTTCTGATTGGATTTGTATCCTATTACTTTCTTTTTAGACAGGTCTTTTGAGGCATTTATGACATTTGGATAATATAAATTAAGGAACAGGTGGGAAAATATTAATATTTGTAGTGTTTTCTTTTTAAATCATTTCTTTCCTTGCTTTGCTTTGAGAGGCTTTAAATGAACAACAGCTCTTCCAAGACACCCAAGCTGGGAGTTGTAGATTCATGGGCATCTTGTAGTGATCTATAAGGTAAAACTTAGGCTAGGATGTTGATAGGAAGATGGATTTTACAGATCACTTTAATTAGCTCTTTTTAAACTGGGGGGCACATTAGAATCACCTGAGAATGTTTTAAATGCTACTTTTGAGTCTCACTAGTCTAAGTCCATTCAGATTGTCTACGGGTGGAACTTGAGCATTTTTTTCTTCAGGTTCTTGGGCAATTTTAATATGCAGCTAAGGTTAAAAACCACTTTAAATGAAACTATTTTTTCATTCCCTTCATATATGTGGAAGACAATTTATTAATTTTTGAGATATGAAACTTGAAATGTTTCAATTTTTGTAGCACTATGTTGGCCATGGAAATGCTATCAATGAGTTGAAATTCCACCCGAGAGATCCTAATCTTCTCCTGTCAGTAAGTAAAGGTAAGAGAAGCAGATGGTTCTTTAGTCCTATTTGGGGGTGAGTATAATTGTTTTAGAGTCAAATAGTGTTCTAAAAGGGAAAAACATCAAAAATTTTAAAAATTCTAATAGTATATTTTAATAGAAAAATCATGTCTCCCAAACCAACAGTTCAAGAAAGGAACCATGGAAATATTTGTCTGTTAACAGACATTAGTAAAATAATTGGTGTGACAACAAAGTACATGTTACCTTTCTCATTTACCATATTGTTAAAAAGTTTTAAAACATAGTTTTATTAACCATTTTATTAGTTACCGTAGCTTTGTCAATCATGTAGTAAGAAATACTGCATGTGAAAATCCTTATTACTTTTCTGTTTTAACAAAGCTTTTGTTTTATTAAAAAAAAAAAAATCCCTGTAGAATTCTTTAAAATTCTGTTTTCCAGCATAAACTCTTTGAAATATTTACCATGAAGAGAAAGGATTGCATTGCTCTTTGTGCCTGTATTGCCATTATTAGTTTATTCTGGATTTAGACCCCTTAATTATTATTAATCATTTTTGAGCTTTCTGAAATGATTTACTCGGCTCTTGTTTCTGCATTTTTTTTTTCCTCCGCATTCTGTTCTCAATTGCCTTTTGTACTCTTTCGTTCTAGTCAAGTTCTCTTCTTAGTTGTGTCAGATTTATAACCTTTCCTAGAACCTTTTCAGATTAAAGAATGTCTTCAAATTTGAACTCTTGGAGGGCTGTGTGTATATGTCTCATATTTACACTGAAGAAAAACAAAAACATGTATACACAAAAACTTGTGCATGATTGACATCAAGGAATCATTTTTACAACAATGTTTATTTTCATTGTCCACATAATGTACTTTGCCTCCTGCTATTATTTATGTAATATGTTAATGTTCATTTACAGTATGAATATTGCTACATTTCAAGTTCTACATGATACTTCTCTTGCTGTACATTGTTTATTAACATTTAATAGAGAAGACTAGGACTGAGGGGGTATAGCTCAGTGGAAGTGGTAGAGTGGATGCTTGGGTTGCCTTGAATTCACAAGGCCCTGGGTTCACTGCCCATGGCCTCAAAAAGAAAGCAGAACAGGATTGTTCAAATTACAGCTATACACCCATGCGCACGTGCACACACACACACACACACACACACACACACCTTTGTGCTGCACTGGTGAACTATATCCCAGCAAAGGAGGACTATTAAACTATAGAATTGTGTCCACAGTATAGGTAAGTTTTGATCATATGCTTGGCTTTCTGTAGGAATCTTATAAATCTGCTTAGTTCCCTTGCATTTGTTAATGTGAGTGTGGTGAAGGTAAAAGCTAGTGTCTTTCTGTGGCATAATATAAGATTATACCAGGTTCTTAAATATTTTCTTATCTCAGAAGTGTCCTATCAGATTAGGTTATTTAGTATATGTGCTACTGAAATTAGTATTAATTAGGGTATTATTTAGAGAAAATTATTTGAAGTAAAGAAGTATAGAATATTTTAAGGTCAAGCCAGGTATGGTGCACAACTGTAATGTCAGAATTCGGGAGGCTGAAGCAGAAGGATCGCTGCGTATTCAAGGCCAACCTGAACTGTATAGTGAGACCCTGTCTCAAAAAAAAATTTTTAAGGTCACGTAAATATTTCTTCATTTTACAAACTATACAAATATTTTAAGTGGCTATCTAATATGGATTTTATTCTTAGTCTTTACTGTGTATAACAAGTGTAAACTTTCATTGTTATTTAAGGAGGTACTGAAAGTTTATAGAAAAGTGAATGTTAAAAGTTCATCTTCATTTTTTTTTGTGTGTTTATGCTAGATCATGCCTTACGATTATGGAATATCCAAACGGACACTCTGGTGGCAATATTTGGAGGTGTAGAAGGGCACAGAGATGAAGTTCTAAGTGCTGTAAGTTACAGGACAGTAACTTTCAGGTTTATTTATATATGAAAATTTATGGAACTCTTTCCTGAATAGAAAACATGTTTGTTTTATACAGGCTACTAGACAATCATTTCATTTTTGACACACAAGATTTTGTACTTACAGGTAAAGGAATGGAGCCAGTAAAGACTCTTTTTTGTTTTTTGTTCTTTAAGAATTACCTAGAGCCAGTGTGGTGGTGCAGTTCTGTAATGGCTAGCAAATGGGAGGCTGAGGCAGGAGGATTGGTCTGAATTCAAGGCCAGCCTGGGCTTCATAATGAGTTCAAGGACAGTTCGAGCTACATAGTGAAAGCCTGTCTCAAAAAGGCAAAATAAAAAAGAAGTACCTATACTTTATCTAGCCCAGTACCTGGATTCCTGGATTCCCACAGAAAAATACCATGAACTTATTCCTTTCCTTTTAGTCTAAAACCCTAAAATCACTATTTTTCTTTCTTTCTGTTTCTCAGTTACTAAAGGAAAAAAATTTATACTAGTTAGCCATTAAGGAACATTTTCATTTTTTTGAAGTCAGTGTAAGTTACCCACTTGTAGGATATATTTTATTGTGCTTATACTGAGTTTTATGTAATCTTTTTTCTTTTCTTTGGCATACTATTATACAAGGCCCAATAGTTGATTGTTTTTAAAGATAAGTAAATAATTATCTTTATGTTAATGTATTATGACTCATTTAACTTGTTTTTAGTCAAGTTTTAGTGTTTCACAGTATTTTACAGTATTTATGTCCCATTGATTTTAGTAATTGTATACAGTACATTCTTTGTTTCTTTTCTGTTAAACTATTTAAAGGGGCATCATATTTTTAGACCATAGCATTTTTATTTATTCATTTGTTTATTTTTCTCATTGGTACATTTTATCTCTCTACCTATGTATTTATTTTTTGCCACACCAGGGATCAAACTCAGGACCTTGTCCTTGCGAGGCAGGCATGGGGCCACTGAGCTAAATCCCCAGCCCTGGTACATTTTAGATACACAAAATGATAACATTCATCATGGAGAATTTGTACCTTCGTATGATATATCTTGTGGGTTCTTTTTTTCTCATTCCCCTCAACCTCTCCCCTCATTTACAGAAGCTTTGTTTCCATTTTCTTTTTCTATTCTCTTTTTCTCCTTGTCCCTTCTTTCCTTTCCCCCTCCCCCTTCCTTTTCTCCTTATTTCAACATTTTTTCCCATTTCCCAGTATCTATTTGACATTTTTGAAACCATAATATGTTAATTGAATGTGCTAAAATAGTGCTGTAGTTGAAATTTATATGCCTTTTTGAGCATCAGCTATGCTAAGATAACTATTAACTTAAATTTTCTACAGTGGCAGTCATGTTTTTCATCTGGCATTATGTGCATGAAAGCCAAGTGTACTGTCCTTTTTAAGAATTCTAAATTAGAGGGCCTGGCTGAGTAGTATTCCATTTTATAGAAAAACCACATCTTTATCCAGTCTCCATCTGATAGACAAATGGGCTGTTTACAAGTTTTAGCTATCGCAAACTGTGCCACTATAAACATAGGTGCACATATATCACTGTGATATGATTCTTTTAATTCTTTTAGAAAGATACCCATCAGAGGGATGAATGGCTCAAATGGAACCTCTAATCCTAGTTCTTTGAGGTATCTCCATATTGATTTCCACAGTGGTTGCACCAGTCTGCACTCCCACCAACAATGGAGAAGGGTTTCTTTCTCCCCACAACCCCACCAACATTTGTTATTGTGTGATTTCTTGATAGCAGCCATTCTTTGTGGGGTGAGGTGGAATCTCAAGTGTTACTTTCATCTGCATCTCTTGAATGACCAGTGATGTGGAACATTTTTTCCTATAGTTTTACTTGCTGCTTTTACTTCTTTGTCTGAGAAATGTCTGTTCATTTTGGGTGCCCATTTTTGAATTGGGTCTTTATATTTGGGGGGCTGATTGTTTTGAGGTATTTATATATTCTTGATAATAGTCCTTTGTCTGAGGAATAGCTGGTAAAAATTTTTTCCCACATTGTTGGTTGCCTCTTAGTTCTGCTGATGGTTTCTTTTGCAGTACAGAAGCTTTTTAATAAGATGAGATCCCAATTGTTGATTTTTTCTGCTAGTTCCTATGCTACTAAGGATTTGTTCATAAAGTCTTTTCCTGTGCCAGTGTCTTCAAGAGTTCTGCCTAACTTACCTTCCAGCAAATTTAGTGACTCTTTTTTTAATACTTACATCTTTAATCCACTTGGATTTTAGTTTAGTGCATGGTGAAAGATAAGGGTCTAGTTTTAATCTTTGGCAGGTTGAAGTCCAATTTTTCCAACACCATTTATTAAAGAGACTATCTTGTCCACAGTGAGGATGGTTGGCTCCTTTGTCAAAGATGAGATAGCTGAGTACATCTAGAGTTGTTTTTGAATTAGAGTCATTCTTAGGAAAATGGATACATATTGAAGATATACTCCTAAGTGAAATAAATAAGTCACACAAGTATAAATACTAAGTAGTTTCTCTAGTGTGAAAAACTATAATGGTACATAAGATCCTAATGGTATAATTGACAATGTGAAATAGGAAGAAAAGGGCTAAAGGTGTAGGGGAAGTGGGAAGAGTAGGGAAAAGGTAATAAGGGAAAAGAAAAAAAAAATAGGAGAAAATGAAAAAATGGAAATAAAGTATTTGTAAATAGGGAAGGGAGGAGGGGGTGAAGGTAGGGCAGGAACAAGGGGACAAAATGAGAACCAAGACCTGTCATGTAAAGGTACAAGATCCTAATGATGAATGTAACTGTACTGTATACCTAAAATGTACCAATAAACTCAGCGAGAGGAAAAATAAAGAAAGAAAGAAAGAAAGAAAGAAAGAAAGAAAGAAAGAAAGAAAGAAAGAAAGAAAGAAAGAAAGAAAGAAAGAAAGAGGACCCGGGATTTAGCTCAGTGGTGCCACACTTGCCTTACAAGTGCAAGGTCCTGAGTTCAATCTCCGGTACCAAAAACAAATAAATAAATAAATAAAATTCTGAATAAGAGTTGCTGACTCTAAGGATGTTTTGTTGCCACTGTCAGTGAGGTAATTAGAAGTAGTAGCAACTAGACTTGTGAACCCGTAAATAACAATCCTAAATCTTTTGTAAAACTGTTCAAGAATTGGATTAATGCACAATATCTAGGTTAGTAAGGAAAATAGCCTCTTTCAGTAAACTCTTTACTGTTACGTATTAAAATGAAAACAAGGACTGGGGATTTAGCTCAGTGCTGCTGCACCTACTTGGCAAGCACAAAGTCCTGAGTTAATTTGGGACTGTATTTTATGTATTGTAAACTTTTCTGTTTTACATACAAGATCATGATTTTCTAGGTGAAAAAATAATGTCCAAAAATAAAAAACAATACTCTAAAATAAAAACAAGATAGGATGTGTACACACACAGTATTTAATACAGATTTACCTTCTAGAAGAATTGATGTGTGATATTTTCATTAACTTATGGTGTGTCTTCTGCTAAATAGTATATCTGAGCCTTGGTGTCTATCTATGAAATAAGGTTTTTAGAACAGATTATCTGTTAGGTGCCTATTAAAATTTAGTAAAAGCAAATACAAATAATAAAATCTTTTAGTTTATAAAAACTCAAGAACTGAACTCAAATGCCTTGAACTACATGTATAAGATGATGTAAAATTTGAGCTATTTAAGGACTGATATAGTTTCAGATGCAAATGTCAGTTTCATTTCTTGATTGGTACTAGACAAGCATTGTTCAGCTTTTTTATGTTAGAAAAAGCATTTTACCTCAGTATTTGATTTAAAGCAAAGTAAATAAATATAATTGAATAGATAAAACTAAATGCAAGTAATTTCAAGAAGACAGGAAAGCCTCCATATTAGGAAATTTCATATACCCTGGTGGTGACAACCCAGTTAAAATTTAAAATCTTGAAATTAGTAACCAGAGTTGTGGCCTATATATATGAAACCTAAAATAGAGTTAGTATTGTGGCTTAAATACAATATTCATTGTATTTTATATCCAGGGAAAATTTGGTAATTTGGGACTGTAATTTATGTACTTTTAAACTTTTCTCTTTTACATACAGGATTATGATCTTTTGGGTGAAAAAATAATGTCCTGTGGAATGGATCACTCTCTCAAACTTTGGCGGATCAATTCAAAGAGAATGATGAATGCAATTAAAGAATCTTATGATTATAACCCAAATAAAACTAACAGGTAACAGTTAATATGCTTTGCCGTGCAATTGAATAGATACGTTGTTAAATAAATTCTTAACACTTGAGTTTAAAAACCTTTTTTAAAAAAAACAAACTCCATTTTATTTGTTTTTATTTTTGGGGGGTGGTACTGGGGATTGAATCCTGTAATCCTAGCACTCTGGAAGGCTGAACCAGAAGGATCTCCAAGTTTGAGTGCATCCTGGTTAACTTAGTAAGACCATATCTAAAAAATTAAAACACAAACACACACGCACATGCACACACAAATGGGCTGGGGATATAGCTCAGTGCTTCAACTCTTAATTCAATGACTGTTTAAAAAAAAAATCTATCAGGCTGTTATTAACACTTAGTATAAATGTCATAGGTCTACATTTGTTAATTCTGTATGTTTGTCTTAGCAAAGAGAGTTTTATTTTCTGGTTTTCTCCCTCTTCCTCTCTGCCCTTCTACTCCTCTCCTTTTCTTCCTCTTCTCCCCTCCCCTCCTTTCCTTTGAATCAGAATCTCACTATGTAACCCAGGCTGGCCTTGAACTCATGGCAATTCTCCTGCCTCATCTTCTCAAATGTTTTCTGGTTTTAAGACAGATTATTAATAAATTGTTAGTAAAATTCATCAGCATCACTAAATACCTCAATGCACTCATCAGACGTCAGTGGTCTTTGAGAATTAGTAGAGCTTTTAGACTTCTACTTTTACAAGACAGGTGCTGTAAATCTGAGCTATGGAGCTAACCTATTCAGATTTCTAGTTTTAAATGCCAGGGGTCACTACAATGTTAAATTTGTATTTTTAAACCATTTTTTAGATCTCTAGAGTGAACATAAATTATAGATTTCACAGTTTACAGAAAATAACATTGAGTTAAGTAGGTCTTGTCCTTGAGAGAGGTTTAACCATAAGATTTTATGTTCTTGACTGTAAAAAGCAGTAATTTTAACTATTAAAATTTTGTTTTAACAAAAAGATCCCAGAATTTAAATTGGAAGGGATTGTTGGAAATGATGTAGCCAACATTTTTTTACGAAAAAACAGGATATGTGAATTGCCTAAGATAATTCATAGTGTATCATATGCCCATGGTTATTTCAGTATAGAACATCAATCACAGGCGTGAGAGTGTAGCTCAGTTGTAGCGCATATGTTTAGCATTCATGAGGTCTTGAATTTGATCCCTAGCATTAAAAAAAAGCCCTGAATTGCCTACCAGATTAGAAATGGTAGGTATCCTATTTCATTAAACCCAGAATTGGTATAAGCTTGTTTATTCTCATCTCGCAAATATCTGTGAGGAAAAAATGGAGTCACATTTTTTTAGTATGTGTGCTCCAAAGTAAGTGATGGAGCTACATTTTTGTTTCCTAAATGTAGACGTTAGTTTGGAAAGTCTGTATGTCAAATTCCTGCAAGGCATCATTTACAGAAATTATTGTTCAAGGCAAGACTCTCATCTAAATTTATTTATAGCAGACTTTGGAATGATGTTTCATTGTTCCTATAAAGATGACTGTCTTTTGAAATATTGTAGAATAGTTGACTTTAAAAGATAGCTAATGCTTTATTTTAAATGATAAAGTGTAGGTAGTTTAGTATGTTTGATATTTTCACCTCTGTAATAAGATTCTTTTTAATTGATTAAGATTAATTTGGAGCTATAGTAAAAAGCAGGTAGAAGTTTTATAAATTGGGTTGGGGATACAGCTCAGTGGTAGAATATTTAACCAGCATATAAGGCTCCTGGGGTGCAGTCCCCACTCCTGAAAGAGAAAGTTTTATAAATCCTTCCCTGCAAAATAGTTTGATTCTACTACACTTTTTTTTTTTAACTTTACATTTCCATTCTTCCTTCAGGCCATTTATTTCCCAGAAAATCCATTTTCCTGACTTTTCTACCAGAGACATACATAGGAATTATGTTGATTGTGTGCGATGGTTAGGCGATTTGATACTTTCCAAGGTATGGAAAAACTGCAGTTAAGCTGTACTTCCTGTGTGTGTATTTACATGTGTTTAGATAACCTGCTCATGTTTGTTGTAACTTTGCAGGGTGTAACGATTCATTTGTTAAAATTAATATAAAAAATGAATATCAGATGGGAAATTGCCTTTTTATAAAGTCTTATATTTTGGTAGGATTGAAAACTTCCTTTAGGCATAAACCATACCAATAAATTATATTTGTGCTCCAATAAGAGCTTAGAAGGTGATAACGTCCTCTGATACTTTATGTTGCCCAGTAACAAGTAACTAAAATCAACAGTTTTTTTGGTATATTTGTGTCTATTCAATATACTTTTGTTTACAAGAACAGTTGGCTGGAGTCAGTTGGATTATAGGCTATTATTTACTCGCCCCTGCTCTAACATGTTGTGGATATAGATAGCCTTCCATATCCATGGGTTCCACATCCTTGGATTCAACTGATCAAAAATATTTGAAAAAAAATTGAAGTTATACTGACTTACTTTGTCATTCTGTAACCAATACAGTAGAGCATCTGTTTACATAGCATTTACTACTGGGAACCCCTGACATGTTACTGGAAACCTCTGCAGTAGGCTCCGGATTCCTGCCCAATGTACGACAGGCCAGAGAAAAAAAACTAAAAAACAACTTAGAAAACAAGGTGCCAGGATGACCAATGTCAGTGTAACTGACAAAGGCGCTGGCTAGTCCAAGCCACTAATTTTTACTGGTAATTAGTTGGGTAAAGGTGAGCTATGTGAAAGGGCAGAACTGTGTGTTAGGATGTGCAATCTTGCCGTTTTTATGGAAATTAATGTGTAAACAAGCCTCATAAAAGGATAAGACAAAGCATTCTCAAACTAGGAACAGAATAGGCAAAATACATTGATTGTAATTAGAACATTGTGTCCTAGTTAGAACGTTTTAATTGTGGGAATGGAATTTGGGTGCAAGTTACTCTGACTTTGGCAAGTAGGCTTTGGCTGGACTCACTTCTCAAAACAAGCCAATTGTGGGGTTAACTCTTTACAGCCTGCCCTGCCTATAGCCTGCTTTGGGCATAATTAATATTGCAGTTTCCCACAATTTATATTACATTAGGTTTCATAAGTAGAGATGATTCAGAGTATATAGGAGGATGTGTGTAGGTTATATGTAAATACTATTCCATTTTATATGAGGAACTTGAAGATTCGTGAGTTTTAGTGTGGGTGGTAGCAGTCATGTAACTAAATCCTTACAGATGCTCGGAGGTGACTATATATATAATTTTTTAAAGGCGATAATTGAGAGAAATTGGTGAACATTAAGGATTGTCAAATTTAGAGAAATCGCTATCTGGTTTCTTTTGATATAAATTTCAGGGCACTACATTTCTTTGGAAGAACTTAATTTATTATTTTCTTCCCCTTATGATTATAGTATTACTGTTGTTGGTTTTTTTTTTTTTCCTAATCTTGAAATAATTAGACTCATAGGAAGTGTCAGAAATAGTACAGAGGTTCAGTAGGACTTTAACCCCATTTTCCCTGAGGGTTATAGTTTCCATAACTATAATATAATATCAAATCCAGGAAACTGACAATGATGTAAGGTATATGTATAGTTCCTTCTCATTTTATATGAATTTTGTCCTTTCAAGAGTGTTGCAGTTTGGGACCTTTTACAGTTGTTTGTTTTCACTCAGTACAGTGCTTTGGAGATCCATCAAAGATGATGTTTGTATCAGTAGTTCTTCTTTATTGCTAAGTAGCATTCCATGGCATGGCTGTACTATCACACTATATTTAGCCATTTACTATAGATCATTTTAGTTGTTTCTAGTTTTGGATTGTTCTAAAAAACAGCTACTAATGAGCAAATATATACATGTAGGAATTTGTGTGGACTTCTCATTTCTTTGAGATAAGTGTCTGGCAGGGCAGTTGCTAAGTTAAGTTTGTTCAGTTAAAGAAGCTGCCAAACTATTTTTCAGAGTGGCTGTGTGACATTTTACATTCCCACCAGCAATGTATCAGGCAAATTTTTGCCAGCATTTGGTATTGTCATTTTTTATTTTAGCTGTTCCGATAGGTTTGTAGTGATAATTTATCATGGTCTTAATTTGTATCCCCTGATGGCTAGTGATGTCGAAAATCTTTTTCATGTGCTTGTTTACTTACCATCCACATATCCTTTTTTGGTGCCATCTCTTCATTTCTTTGGCTTATTTTCTAATTGGATTGATTTTCTTTGTTTTGTTGTTACTGTTTTGAGAATTCTTAATATACTTTAATAAGAATTTTGTGTCAGGCACATTTTTTGCACATATTGTCTTCCAGTGTATAGTTTGGTCTTTTCATTCTCTTAAAGAGACTTTCACAGAGAAAATATCTTTAACCTTTGTGAAATTCAGTTCATTGTTTTTATAAAATTTATTTCATTAGTAGTGCTTTTGATATTATGCCTAAGAACTGTTCACCAAACTCTAGATGTGAAGATTTTCTCCTGTGTTTTCTTGTAAAATTTTATACTGCTCTGTTTTACATTAAATGTATGATCCACTTTGAGTTAATTTCTGTAAAAAGCACAAGGTTTAGGTTGAAGTTCATTTTTTTCCCCTGTATATATATTTAATTTCTCCAGCACCATTTTTTGAACAATTGTTTCCTCTACTGAATTGGTTTTGCACCTTTGTTAAAAGTTCTTTGGCTCTACTTATGTGAAGTTATTTTTGTTGGTTTGTTTTCCATTGATTTGTATGTCTGTCTCTATGCTGTAAGATTTATAACTGGATAAGTTTATTTCTCCTACTTTATTTTTCTTTCCAAAATTGTTTTTAACTAATTTAGTTTCTTTATCTTTCCATAGAAGTTTCAGAAAAACTTAACAGATTTACAAAAGTCTAGGTGGCACTTTTTTTTTAGTGAAAGCAGATTTTGATTAGAATTTTGTTTAACCTATATAAAATTTTGAGGAGAATTAATATCTGTATACTGAGTTTTCTGATCCACAAACATGGTATGTGTCTCCATATATTTAGATCTTTGTTTTTATCATAAAATAACCATGTGTTGGGTTGGGGATTTAGCTCAGCAGTTCGGTGGCCTGCCTTGCAAGCGCAAGGACCCAAGTTCAATCCCTGGTACCAAAAAAACACAAACAAACAAACAAAAAGTAACCATGTGTTTTTCTTCTTAATGTATTACTTTAGTGGATTGTATTAATTAGTTTTTAAATATTGACCCAGCTTTGTGTCCCTAGAATAAAATCTACTTGGTCTTGCTCTGTAGTTCCTTTTATATGTTGTAGAATCCTATAATGCTAACATTTTGTTAAGTATTTTTATGAAGTATGATATTGGGCTGAAGTTTTCTTTTTTGGTACTGTTTTTATCTGATTTTGGTATCAGTAATAGTGGCTTTATAAAATTAATTGGCAAGTGTTCTATCTCCCATTCTCTGGAAGAGATTGTATAGCGTTAGTATTCTTTAAATGATTGGTAGAATTTTCCAATTAAACTCTCTGGGCCTCAAAATTTTTGTGGGAGACGTTTTGGATAGTGAATTGTTTCCTTATATTTACTTCAAATTACTTCATATTGGGTGAATTGTGGCAGTTTATGCTTTTTGAAGAATTGGCCCATTCCATTACAATAAAATGCACACAGCCAGTTGTTTGTAGTGTTGTCTTTTGATATCTTTTGCCAGATTTATAGTGATAACCAGTTTCATTCTTAAAATTAGTAGTTCTTTTTTTGAGATTCTTAGCAACTGGCTTGTCAGTTTTATTAATCTTTTCAAGGAACCAGCTTTTAGAGCACCAGTTTTTAGACGTTTTATTATATTTTTGATTTCAGTTTATTGCTATCTCCTTTTTTTGTTTGATGTGGTTTATTTTGTTCAATTTTTACAAGCTTTTAAGAATGGTACTTTAGAGTATTGATATCTGGTCTTTTAAATTTTTTGAGAATTTTTTATGGGAGATTAAAAATACATTTTGCTATCAAATGTATTCTGTAAATGAAAGATACTGTGGTGTTATATGTCTTTACTGATTTTCTGTCCACTGTGTGTCAGTTATTGAGAAGCAAGTGATTAACTCTCCCAACTATATTGTGGCTTTTTCTTTATCCTGACGGTTCTATTACATGTTTTGTAGCTCTGTTGTTGGATACATATTTAGTATTGCCTGTTTTTGTTGCTTTACCCAAGATTTATCAATACGTAATTTTTTCCCAATTTTTACTTTTAAAATCTATGGACATTGTTATATTTATGTAAGTTTCTTGTAGATGACATGTAATCAGGTCTTTTTTTGATACTCTGCCAATCTGTCTTAGTTGGTATACTCAAACAATTTATATTTAAGCCTTAACATCATAATTATATTGTCTGCTATTATATTTGTATTTTTCTTTTTCATTTTTTTCTCTAGGTTTTCTTCCCTTCCTGTAGGTTGTGTGAACATTTTTTAGAACTTTATTTTTATTTATTTGTATAGTGTCTTTGAATGCATTTCTTTGTGTGGCTTTTTTGGTAATTACTTTAGATGTTTTGTATATACATACACAAATATGTATGTAACTTATTACAGGCTGCTGGGTATTGGTTGGAAGTTTGCCAATTCAAGTGAAGAGTAGAACACTTACTCTTGTTCTTTATCATTTTGTTCTCTTTATATAATTGTCTTAAATATTTATTATGTATTTTTGAGATCCACATCAGACAATTTTGTCATCCATCACATATAATTTAGAAAATTCAAGGAGAGTATTATATTTATTTATTTTCCTTTTTCTGTTCTTCCTTATTCATTTATGTTTTTGTTTGTTTGTTTGTTTTTGAAACAGGGTCTATGTAGTTCATTCTGGCCTTGAATTCACTGTGTAGTCCAGGCTGGCATTAAACTTACACTCAATCCTCCTGCCTCAGCCTCTCCAGTGCTAGGATTACAGGCCTGTGCCACTACACTGGCTCCAAGATACATCTTAACATTTCCATTCTGTTCAGGAAACTTCCTGTAGCCGTTCTTTTAGGGCACATTTGCTGTTGACAAATTCAGTTTGTCTTCATCAGAGAAGGGCCCTCATTTCCTCTTCATTCCTAAAGTGTATTTTCACCGAAGATATCATTTCGGCTTCACAAGCTTTTGTTTTGTTTTGAAGACCTGAAAAATATTTCTCCTCTCTCTGGCCTCCATGATTTCTGAGAAATCATCTTGTCATTAGAATTGTTTTTTCTCTAGGTAAGGTGCTTTTCTGGCTTGCTACATTTGGGATTGTTTGTTTCTTTAGGTCTTTTGTTATTTTTGTTTTGTTTTGTTTTTTAGGTACAGATTGAACCCAAGTATAATTTTAGTTTAGGTTTGAGTAATTTTGCTTGGATTTCTTTGGATTTATTTGTTTAGAGTTCACTGACTTTAAGGAATCTATAGCAGGCATGTGTCTTGGGGAAATATTTTATCCCTAATTTAGAAATTTACAGCCATTATTCAGGATTTTTTTGGCTCTGCTTTCTTCCCTCATTTAGATGTTAGATCTTCTGTTTGGTCCCAAAGACTGTGTCTTTTTATTCTTTTAAAGTTACTTTTTCATGGGCCGGGGATTTAGCTCAGTGGTTTCACTGCCTGCCTTGCAAGCGTAAGGACCTGAATTCAATCCCTGGTACCAAAACAAAATGAAACAAAAAACCCAAAACATCAACAAAAAAGTTACTTTTTCTGCCAGGTATGGTGGTGCACACTTGTAATGCCAACACTTGGAAGGTGAGGCAGGAGGAATGCATTGAGTTTGAGGCCAGCCTGAGCTACATAGTTCAAGGTCAGCCTGAACTACATGGTGAGACCCTGTCTCAAAAATTTTTAAATAAAGTTACTTTTTCTTCTGTTCAGATTGTGTAATTTATATTTTCTGTTTTTTAAATTCTTGACTCTTCAGTTAAACCCATTAATTAAGTTTTAAATTTTGGTTATAATAGAATTACTCATTTCTAAAATTTACCTATATGTTTATTAGAGATTTTTCTGTGTGTTTGTGCTCATTGGAGCACTTTTATGTTTGCTGCTTTAAAATCCTTGTCAGATGGTTTTGATATTTTATCTCAGGGTTGGTATGCGTATTTCTTTAAGTTGAAATTTTTCTGATGAGTATTTTTTGCTTGAGATCTAAATATTTGGGATATTATGAGATACTGCTTCTTTAGATCTTCTATTGTGGCAGGCTTCCTCTTATACCTTTTCAGTTGGGGAAGCGAAGCACTGCCTTGTAACTGTGGGGAGAGGCAGGGGAATGATAGGAGTTCATACTTTCTACTCTACCTCTCCTCTCACCACTGTGGTTGGGAGGGACAGGATGCCTTGTTACTGCTTACCTAGTGGTCACCACTGCCATTGTATATAGTTGGTTGCAGCCTTACTGCTGGATTGTGAGTGTCCTGACTACTAGGCCTTCTGTGATGCTAGCTTAGCCAGAGAGTAGGAAGAGGGCCATCTTATTACTATAGGGGATAGGGAGAATGAAAGATAAACATTTGAGGTGCATAGTTATGACCTAGGAGTGGTTCCTTACTGGGCCTTTACATGTGCAAGTGGACAGGAGCCCACAGATTTTTCTGTGGTGTTTGGATTATAGCCTTTATTGTCTGAAAGTTTGTCTTGTTAGGCTACCACTTTCTTATGGAAATGACAGGGTTTTGTTGAGACTTTTTCTTTCTTCACTCATTAGTATTTCTGAATTTTTCCCTTCTTTGAGATCTAGCCTTAGGTATAGATGTGAAAAGAAAATGGGAACTCACCACTCTATGGTTCATGTTCCTGGGCTCCTCACTCATCCATCTTCTCTCACTTTTCAGAAAAATATGTTTACTTTATATATGATATTCAGACTTTTAAGTTATACCGAAAAAGATGAATAGGGAACTGTATATCCTTGTTTTGGTAGCAGCTATAGATCATCAATAGCTTTAACTTTTCTCCCTTAGAATTTAATCAGATAATAAGAAAGGATTTCTGGATTTAGGTGGGATGCTGGATTGAGATATAATAATGGTCTCAAATCTGGGAGTATGTCAGATCACTAGAAAAACATGGTAAAACAGATTCCTAGACCTCATTTCTGGAGGGTCTAAATCTGGCGCAAGAACCTGGGAATTTGTATTTAGAAAGCTTTCTTGTGATTTTGAAGTGCAGCTATTAGCTCTGGTGAATTCTTTTTAAATTGTTATGCTTCAGGTTTTTTGTGAAAGAGCTCTAATGAGTAAAAATTCTTGGCCAGGGATATACTGTAGTATGTAGTATGTTTGCTTGCCTATTTATTTGTTAGGCCGTGGATTCAGTCCCTAGCACCTCACTTTCCACCCGTTGGAAAAACAAAAACTTCACCTGTTTAATAAGAAGTACTTAAAAGAGTCGATTTATAATTTTTCTGCTTCTGCCTTCTTAGAGATTCTGATTCAGTAGGGGGCTAAGATGAGTCTTGAGAAAACTCCCAGATTATTTAGCTGATGATAGTCGAGAATCATCAAATGAGGTGATGTTTAAGATATTTTGCAGTTAAGAACTTAGATAACCTATAATATTAGAATTTTGGAAGTCTGAAAAATGTGTCCCCATCCTAGTCTTCTTGTGGCCTTGTGGTTAAATGACAGTGACCCTGTAAGGCTGCCACCTCTGCCTGTACAGGTTGTCTTGTAAAACTGTAGGGCTACTATATGCCTACACCAGGGTTTCTACATCCTGGTGCTATTGAGATTGGGCCATATACTTTGAGGTGGAAGGGCTGTCCTTTCTTCATAAAATGTTTAGCAGTATCTCTGGCCTCGATTAACTAGAGGTCAGAAATACTGCCCAAAGTCTTTTAGAAGGTAAACCACTGACCTAGATAGTAATGTGAATAGTGCCCATAGAGCAGCTTTCTTTTCATTATATTTTTTACTAATGACTATTTAAATAGAAGGGTGTACACAAAAATTTAATGTTACAGGATAGGAGAGTGTAACTTCACAGCCTATTGTGATTCTATCCCCATATCAGTGTCTGGATGTTAACCCACTGCTATCATTGTGTCTTCTTTCCTTGTTTATAACTTGACTGCTTAGGCCCTTTCAGTGAGTTCATTTTTCCAATGAGTATTTATCTACCCTGTACCCTATGTGTGAATGAAGTATTAATAGTTAAAAGGTAAAGCGAGTTGGAGAGGGATGAAACTAATGGAGTCAGAGTTTGAAAATCTGTGAATTTTAATACTATGTTTGTAATTGTACCTTTGCTGGGGAACATCTCAAGTTTCTGGGTGCCAAAGTGTCTAAAGCTGGACTTCTGATTTGGAAGATAAATTATGATTTCCAGTGATTCTTCCAAACAGTGTATTTTGTATTGTCTAATTCTATTGATAATCAGATTTCTTGTCCTCAGGTGTGGACATTGACTCAAATACAAATGAATGTATATCCCAGGATTAAACAGTTTCTTTGAGTTTCAGTTCTAAAATGATAATGGAATCTTGTATTTAATAAATTCAGTTCTACAATTAATACTTTTTTTTCTCATTTCTCTTTTTTAGTCTTGTGAAAATGCTATTGTGTGCTGGAAACCTGGCAAAATGGAAGATGATATAGATAAAATTAAACCTAGTGAGTCTAATGTGACTATTCTTGGGCGATTTGATTACAGCCAGTGTGACATTTGGTACATGAGGTTTTCTATGGATTTCTGGCAAAAGGTAGCAGCATATTTTTATGTTACGAAATTATTTTACTTAAAGACCATTTTTTTCCATTAAATTTATTTTAGGTATACAATACAGTTATATAGATCATTGGGATCTTGTACCTTTACATGATGTATATTGGTTCTTATTTTTTCCCTGTTTCCCTGCCCTCCCTTCACCCCTTCCACCCTTCCCTATTTACAGAGACTGTTTCCTTTTCTCATATTTTTTCTTTTCCCCTCTTTCCTTTCCCCTACCCCTCCCACTTCCCCTACTCCTTTAGACATTTGCTTCCTATTTCACAATAAAAGACAATTGTGATTCTAGCTTTTTTCTATTCTTTTTCCTCTGAAAATCTGTCTTTGACCTTTTTTTTTTTTTTGATTTTTTGAGACAGGGTCTCACTATGTAGTTGAGACTGACCTGGAACTCACTATGTAGCCCAGATTGGTCTCGAACTCACAGCATTCCTCCTGCCTCAGCTTCCCAAGTGCTGGGATTACAGGCGTGAGCCACCATGCCCGGCTTACTTTGACCTTTAATATCATATATTCTACCTTTATGTATTTTGTATACATCTGCAGTGTCTATGTTAAATGAAACCGGCAGTTTAGTATCAATGGTAGAAGGTAGATGTTACATTTAATTTAATATTTTAGTGAATGGAATGTTAATTTCTGAAATGGCTTTTTTCCTAGAGGAAATTTAGCAAAATTAGGGTGGAAGTTAGAGACAAAATACTCACTACCCAAAGTAACAGAAATGTGTGTTTTTTTTTAAAGGAAATGTATTTGTAAGAGTTTTTGGTAATAAGTTATTTATATCTTTAACACGCTTTTGCCATAATTCTTTAAGGCAGAGTAAAAGACTACAATTGTGGAAAGCTTTATTTACTCAGGGTATCTGTGAAATCTGGAATATAAGATACAAAGAAATAGACCAGAGCACAGTCAGAAGCTAGAGCCTAGGTTTTTCTACAGAAAGAAAGATACTTTAGGATTGATTAAATGCCTTTGAGTGTGGTGATTTTTATTAATTTGATGTCTTTAAAAATATGTTCACACAGATGCTTGCATTGGGCAATCAAGTTGGCAAACTTTATGTTTGGGATTTAGAAGTAGAAGATCCTCATAAAGCCAAGTAAGTATTTAGAAATTTCTAAAATGCTCAAAATTTTACTGTTTCCTCCAAACTTTCATGCCTTTATAGAGGAAATATTGTTATTTGCAGTGTTATCCTTAAATCATTTTAACATTTATAAGTTTCAGAGCTAAAGTATTTTTTTATTTCAATAATGATGTATATTTCATGAGTGCAGTGATGAGAAGATAATTCTCTTATCAAATTATGTGGTAACTCTTGAGTTTAAAATATATCCAAATTTTATAACATTTGAGGGGGAATTCAGTGAAGATTTCTGGTTGTAAATGCTTTTTATGAAACTTGGAACATTTGTTCATTTTCTTACTCTTTTAAGTAGATGAAATATTATGTATGACATTAACTTCTTGTCATGTTTTTTCCCTAGATGTACAACACTGACTCATCATAAATGTGGTGCTGCTATTCGACAAACCAGTTTTAGTAGGGATAGCAGCATTCTTATAGCTGTTTGTGATGATGCCAGTATTTGGCGTTGGGATCGACTTCGATAAAATATTTTTTCTTAACCAAAATTAGAGTGTGTTGTCTGTGTAAAATAGAATTAATGTATCTTGCTAATAAGGGCACATAGAGCATTTAGACTTGTTTTTCAGCATTCAATCAGGCTGAGCTGAATGTAGTGATGTTTACATTGTTTACATTCTTTGTATTGTCTTCCTGCTCAGACTGTAAGCTTTCAATAAAAAATTTATTTTTGTAAAGCTGTGTTTTAGTTATTTTTATTGTAATGAAAAACAAGTTGAAAGTAATAAAATTATGCCTTACCTTTATTTGTAATGTTTGTCTTTTTACGTGGAGAGAGCCATTTAATCTGCAGACTATAGGCTCTACAGCTAAACTGAATTTAATTATTAGAGATTCCAGGGTTTCATATTTTTAATGATTCCTTCTGATAGTTTCATAAATATGTTTAAAATTCGTTAGAGTTAGAACATATAGTAGTGTTTTCCTGCCACTAGATTTGTAACCAGACCATTAGTAATTTTAGTGGAAATGTTATTAGAACAAAAGAACGAGAGGATATAGCAGCTTAAATGCATTGGATCAGCTAATGAAGAAGGAAGTAGAGAGTTTGCCCATGTAGTGAGTTGTTGCCTCCTTTTTTGAAAGGGATATAACTGGCTAAGAGAGTAAGGGAGGTAAGTAGATCTCATAGGGTTGAGAGAGTTGAGCTGTTTTTCTTGGTGGTGTTTTTCTCATACATAGGGTGCATTGTATTTACTTGTGGATTTGGAAAAAAACAAAACAAAACAACCAAAGAATTAAAACCAAGATCACATGTGGAGGAATTAATCTGAAGCAGAGGGAATGAAAAAAGCCTGAGCTAAGTAGTTATGAAGCAAACTACTGTTGTTATAAAGCTAAAGTTACAAGCTAAGGTAAAAATGTAGCAAGACAGGGTAAAACAAAAGATTGAATTTTGTAAAGTTTTAAAAAGGTTAATGACATGTTTCTATAAATGATGTATTTATAAAGTTGTTTTGATATTGTATACATGTACAATATTTGACACTGTTGCCTTTTGAACTGTTTCTGAAGCAAATTTTACTTCCCTGAAAATAATTTTATTTGTTTGTTTGGGTTTTTTTTCCTGAAAATAATTAGTTTTAACCCTTAGCCAGCAGGAAAATTATTATCACTGAGACAGTTTACCAGTAAAATGGAGAAAAAGCTGAAACCCTACCTAACAGCCTAGGACAATTAATAAACAACTATAGTTTTATATTTAAAAATTTCTAAGTTAACCAGTTTTCAGTCTATGAAATAAAACTACTGTATAGAAGTTATATAACTAACAGGTGAGTCATGGAAAGTGGGGTCAGGAAAGGTCACTTTCCTGAAGAAAAGTGGGGGAATATGTAAGAAATTACCAAGTGCATATTACAGACAGCTAAAACAAGCTGCATAAACACATAAAAGTCAAAAAGTACATTGTAAATTGCTCCTAGAATCAAATACACATAAGGCACAAAGTGGGTATAGAGGGGGGAAATTAGGAATGGCAGTAATGCTAAATACTATCATTTTATTTATGCAGCTGTATTCTGGCCACCTTGTAGTACTTGAAAATATAAGAACCTTCATAATAACCTTAGGACGTAAATGCTGTTTATTCAATTTTAAGGTCAGGAAATGTGATAAGGAAATGTTAGCCTAATGTTCTGCGTCTTCTTAGGTACAGAGTTGGAAGACAGTGGTATAACTTTTCCTTCATTTTTGCTTTAGCTATCTCAAAAGACTCTTTGAAAAAGTACAGCGGGTCAGATCTTCTGGAGCCACAGGAACTTTTCAAACTGATTATATAAGTAGGGGCTAGGAAAACGTTGCTTATGGCAGGCTGCCTAAACTCATTTAAATATTTCAAGCTAGGCAAAGACCCTCCTCCATTCTATATAAAAGGAAAGGAAATTGAAACTTGAAAGAGAATGAGAACTGTATCGGTGGTAATTAGTACTTGATGTCACTTCCTATGAAATACATGGAGGCGGGCAGATATTTTGCAAGAAACTACTAAGGCCACAATATTCTAAGTGATATGTATACAGTTTAATCCTCACAATTACATGGGCCACTGAAAAAGTCACATACCTTGACTACAGTTGTATAGTCTGTGGGAAAAGTAATGAAGTTGGAAGGATATACAATAAATTTGTACAAATGCAACACAACTTGTTGAAAGTACTCAGATACTGTTTAACAGAATCATGAAATTGGATCATGACTTCATTTCAGGATCCAGTATTTAATTTCGCGTAAAGATTTGGGACAATTTTCCTCTGAAATTAAATTTCTCTACCTACAAAACAATACATACCATGGTGAATTGATATTTGTAAGGGCGTACTTTTACTCTAAAACGTCACAGACATCACAAACGTTTCCTTAGGGCGCGATACTCCTCAATTCTGGCTCTGGGTTGTTGGAGGAAGGAAAGGGACTACCAATCCCAGCATGCAAAGTCTCCTGGCTCCCCTTCACGGAAGCTAGCTCAGAGCTTTATGGTACTTGTAGTCTTCTACAAGAGATCTGGCGCCGGATCTCCTTTCTTCCATAAGGGGGAAAAAGTGTGCGTGTAAGCCCCGGAAGTACACCTCTTAGGAAGAAAGGGTCAGAGGTCGTGGGTCAGAAGGCGCTTCCGCTGCTTACCTTGTTGCCTTGTAGTGGACGAGCCGATTCCCACTTAAAAATTCCGGAAGGTTCTTGGGCTCCAGTAGGGTAGCAACCACAGTATTCCTAGTCGCTGGTTTCAGGTCCCTGCCGACTGAGTGGAGCCGCCTCCGCCATGTTTGGCTGCTTGGTGGCGGGGAGGCTGGTGAGGATGGGGCCGGGTGGTATCAGAAGGGGTCAGGATACTGAGGAAAAGGGTTGGTGCGCCGATGCTAGAGACTCTAGGAAACGTATTGGTGTCTGTTTGGCTGCTTGTATGAGATGGGGAGTGGGACGCTGGGAAGCTCTTGTAACTCCGTCCAGATAAATAGTAATAGCAATATTATCTGCCATCTGTGGAGGGTGCATAATGTGTCAAGCACTGGGCTGAGTGCAGTGCACGCTTTTTCCAATTACTTGTTATTTCGGCCTTCTGTGCAGCTTGTTATTTGGCACTTCAGACTTAGCTCACATTAGTCTTGAGGTGATCGTTCTCATTTCACTGATAAATTTTAACTCAGGATAAACCAGACTAAATGCTCGCTTTAGCTCACGCCGTGAGTTAGAAGTAAAGCTGAGATTTTAATCTAGTTTATAGCAAACTGTCAAAGATGAAGCCGCTTAGGCACCTTTGTAAGGATGCTGGTAAAAATATGCTTAATGTAATTGGAAGTTGGCGGATAAAAACGCTGAAATTGGGCCAGGGATTTAGCTCAGTGGTTCCGCCGCCTGCCTCACAAGCGCAAGGTCCAGAGTTCGATCCCCTGTACCAAAGGGGAGTGGGGAATGCAATTACTAAAAACGCTGAAATTTAGGTGTGAGCCATTTGAGATGACTGGAAAAGGTTGCGAGCCAGTGTTGCTTCCTTGTTGGTCAAAAGGCTAAACTGCCTCGCCAGATTATTAGAATTTAATATGATCAGTAGCAGGAATTTTTAAGGAATAATGGAGGGCAAATCTTGTTTGCTTTCATAGAAACGTAGGTATCCATTTTCAAATCTCTGCCCTTTCCCTTGGGGTTTTTTCTTTTTACTCCCTACTTTGTTAAATATCGCATCCATTTTGTTGCATTGTTTTTCATCCTTTTTAAATAATGTTTTATATTCAGTGCCCAATTTTAAGAAACCACAAAAATTACTAGCTTCAAAAAGTTTACTGTCTCTTGAATGACTAAACAGGAGATAGTGCTAGTTGGTAATCCCGGTGAGATAATTTTGCATTGCCCCTTGCTTTTTTGTTTTTTGTATGTGCTAGGGATTGCGTCGCTCATTCTGGCAACCCTCTACCACTGTTCTACATTCCCAGTCCTTTGTAAAATTTTGAGACAGGATCTTGCTAAATTGCCCAGGCTGGTCTCAGGTGCGCCAGTAGCTGGGATTACAAGTATGAGCTGCCTTGACTAGTTTGCTCCTGTTGTGGATTGGGAAAATGAATAAATTTGAGTGTCAGTAATGAATGACATTGTGTGTTTTTGAAGAATAAAAAGCTATATGGAATCCATGTACCGGGTCAGTCAATTTGGAAGAGAATTTGGTTATAGCATTTAACTCTTTACCCAACACCTAATCTCTAAGGTGAAAATTTCTGTAGAGGTTTCTTCAAGTTTTTTTAGGGGCGGATGGTTCTTTAATTCTGTAGTATTAGAACACATAAATTAAAATGAACAACATGAATCAAAATGAAGGACAAATAAACCTAATGACATCTCAAAATTTATTATAATTAACCAGAAAAATACATTTATCTGAAGTTTTGAATGTATTTTTATTTTTTGAAATTTTTTGTTAAAGAGTGGGTTTTTTTGTTTTTTTTTCTTAAGGATTAGTGTCAGGCTGAGGCAGGAGGATCACAAGTTGGAGCCCTGCTCCAACAATTTAGTTACAGAAGTACCCAAGATCCTGTCTTAGGAAAAACAAGACAAAACAACACTGGGAATATGTTGAAGTCCCTGAGTTCAATTCCCAGTACTGCATAGGCATACACACAAAAGAATGAGCTTGTCAACACAGATTTATTTACTCACTGGAGTCTTGTACTGAGTAGACAGATAAGTATTTGTTTTGCCTGATGAGTGTTTCAAGATTCATAAATACCATGAATTTTCATACTTTTTGTGGTTAAAGGTATGCTAAAACCTGGTAGAAATTGAATTTAATACTGATACAGTTTTTTTGTTGTTTTTCTTGTTTAATTTTTTATATTTGAAGTAGAAGACTTTAAATTGAGTCATAAAACTTGAGAAGAAGGAATCAGATCATCACTCAGCATTGGCATATTAGGATTTAATTTAGGGAAGTTGATATTACTTTATAATTTATTGATGATGTTTTCTTAATCAGTAGATTTAATATTGTAAAGGGAAAACAAGTATTTCAGTAACAACCAGCAAATACTGGAAAAGGAAAATAAGTTGCATTTAGGTAATAAGAACTGACCATTTAGTCTTTAAAATACTAGTAGTAATTCAGGTTTGATATTTTGGTGAGTATCAGTTGTTAAGTCAAAAGCAAAATCCAAACATGTAAGGTAGATTTTTGATGTTGTACCTACCTGAGCACTCTCAGAATTAATATTTTGCTAATGCTGTGACATAGCATTAATATTTTTCTAAAATAGAAATATTTTCTGTGAAAGTAGGTTATTCATACTGTGAGGTAAGGTCTCAATTTAAAAATGTTGAGTTCTAGAACAAAATTAGATTATGAAATGAATTTAGGAAAGTTGTATATAATTTCCCAGGTATCAAATTTGACATAGAATTTGTATATTTTATATACAGATATAGTCTTTATTCATTCCAGTGGTTATAGTCTCAAAAATCTTTCGAAAACCAGAATTGCAGCATACAGGGTTACCACCTTAAGGGCCTCTAGTCAGAGCTTTTGTTACATTTTTTGCAGCACTGAGGATTGAACTGAGGACTTGGAGCATGCTAGTGAAATGTTCTTTCACAGAGCTACATCTGCAGCTATAGTCACAGCATTTTTGATCAGCCTGTGATAACTAATATGTGTTTCTGTTTATTTAAAGACATTTAATATGCATTGTTAATTCATATTCCATTCATGGGCCCGCAGTATTACAACTTAAAACCGAATAATACTTAGCATGCATTTTCTCTATGAGATATTTCAAGTCATCTTGCAATTAAAAACACTTGTCAGCATGTAAATCTAGGACATTTTAAAAACAAAATCACCAGCAAAAAGTACGAAATGCAGATGAAGCATGGCACTAAATAGGCTGTGAAAGGACATTGTTTACAGAATTTGGGCTAAACCAAGAAGGCATAGCATATCTTGCTTCCATCTTAGCTTGGAATGTGTGAGTCAGTTGAAACTTTGGTGTTCTTTCCATGACAGTATGTATGAATGACTGCAGAAGTGCAGCAAGCATTGCTTTTGGGTCACACATTTTAGTAGCTGAATTTGCAAATATGGAATCTTTATAATTGAAGACTGGCTTCTGGTTTGCTTACCTATCTGGACTTCTATATTGTCAAACTGGAGGATAAAAGTGTGGTAGTGTGCAGCCATGGATTTAGCTCAGTGGTGCTGCCGCCTGCCTCACAAGCCCAGGTCCGGAGTTCAAACACTGGCACCAAAAAAAAAAAAAAAAGTGTAGTAGTGTGATTTGAGCAACCTTTCATTTTTTCAGTATTCCAAAGTATAGTTACTAGTTTAAGAAGAATTCTTTCATAGTACTTCTGAAAGAAGTTACATTTTTTAAAGATAACATTTATTAAATGATCATTTTAAGGCTAAGTATGTATTTTTTGATTATTAAAAAAACACTTTGGGGGATGGAGATAGAGCTTAGTGATATGGCACAGTCGCATGTGTGAGGCCCCAGTACTGCTAAATAAACAAAAAAGTTAACACTTTCTGGAATACTTAATAGTTTCATAAATGAGTATCAGTTTAACACATATTTGGTATGGAGAACATAATTGCCTTCAGTGGTGACAGATTATAGCAATATGTCTATAGAAACTTCAAACTGTTGAACTAAGACCAGTTTCTTATTTTCTAGGTTCAAATAGCTGCACAGCAAGTGGCAGAGGATAAATTTGTTTTTGACTTGCCTGATTATGAAAATATCAACCATGTTGTGGTTTTTATGCTGGGAACAATCCCATTTCCTGAAGGAATGGGAGGATCTGTCTACTTTTCCTATCCAGATTCAAATGGAATGCCAGTATGGCAACTCCTAGGATTTGTCACAAATGGGAAACCAAGTGCCATCTTCAAAATTTCGGGTCTTAAATCTGGTAAGAATAATAATTGTTGAATAATTAAACTTTTTCTTAAATAATATGAAAGACATATGGCTTTTAAACCATTATAGTTTTCTGGTTGCTAAAATAATGCATAACATTTTTTGAAAAGTAGATGATACAGAAACATTTGAAAAATAGTGAAAGTCTTCTTTGGCTTCTTCATTCCTTCCTTCTTCCCCTAAAACCTGAAGATAACCACTCAGTTCTCTTTGGATTGTTCTCTGGATTTTTCTGAATTAGTTGTTGTTTTAATAAATAATAAAAGGAGGCTCTGATATGCACATCTGTGTTTTAAATGAATAAATACAAAAGGTGAACTTGTAAAGGAAGTTGAATTGGAGTGAATCTTTTCTTCCATTAAGATTTTTGAGCTAAGCAATGTGGTATATGCCTGTCATCCTAGCTACTCTGGAGGCCGAGGCAGGAAGATCACAAATTTTAGCCTAGTCTGGTTAATTTAGCAGGACCCTGTTTTAAATAAAAAGGGCACAGTGTGAAAGCTTTGGATTCAATCTACAATACTTTTCATGCATGCTTGAAGAAAAAAAAAAAAGGAAGATTTTTAGCTCAGTTTGATTTCTCCAGTTCTTCTTTCTTTGGTTCTGTTGACATTTCAGGGATATTTAGGATACTTAGGATATTTTGTGAAGAAACATGAGAATGGAATTAGATTAGGTGTCAATTACTATTGAATGTCTGGTTCCCTTAAATCTGCATGCAGACATATATGAAAACTCTTAAAATATAGGTGGAGTCTGTGGAGTTAAAGAAAAGACTGTTTAGGCAGTATGTAAATGACATGTTTATGTAGATATCTACTGTGGGAATTTAAAGATACTGATTAAATTCTTGCCTGAAATAACTCATTCTTACAAAGATACTTCTGTAGACTAGTAATTAGAAGAGTAAAAAGTAATAGTAGGTGTTTGTACAAATGGCTGAGGGATAATGGAAAGATGAGCAATTTCCTCATAGGTGAGTTGGGGAAAGTTTCCCAGAGGTTGGGATACTGAGGCCCTTGTGGAGACAGGGAGTGCTTTGCCAGGCTTATGAGAGACCTATTGAGCATTTTTTAAAGGTGTGGATAATAGGACAATAAAACAAAAGTTTGAAAGCGTGGTGTGCTCAGAATGGCACAAGGCAGAGTACAGTGGACTCTTTGAGTTATGACTGGCCTGATGTATGAACAACTTGTGTTACAAACAGAATTTCAGTTTTAACTTATGAACAAAATCTTTAGTTATGACTCGAATGCTGGCCACTTGTGTTTCCAGATGGTCTCAGATACAGATTTAACCTTTAAAGAGTTCTGAAAAGAACGTTGCAGCATCCTTTTCTTAATTGAGAAATTCTGGGCCACTGTCTCTCTAAAAACACTGAGACCTGCCTGATACTGGAGAGGGACTTTGAAGGTTGTGTAGAGGAACCTGAGCCTTCAACTGACCAACTTGAGTAACAACCAGCTCTTTTGAATACCTTGAGTTTGTAAGTCAAGGGTCCACTATATAACATAAATACAGATGAATCATGAAATGATATATATATATATATATATACTGTTTCATGGAATTTCAGTGAATAATTTTTCACATATTTAGGGTACAGACCCATTTGATAGTATGATAAAAAGTTTATGTACCATAACAGAAACACTTGAAAACTTATTAAACAAATTTGAATCAAGAATAAATTGAAATTATGAATTGATATACTATCAATAAATTCAGATCAGTAATTAAAATTGTTATATGTATGTACAGAAAATAATTATGAAGTAAATTAAACTGATACCTTCGTTTTAAAAACTTTTCACTATAGCTGGGGATTTAGCTCAGTGGTTCCGCCACCTGCCTTGCAAGGACCCAAGTTTGATCCCCAGTACAAAAAAAAAAAAAACTTTTCACTATACAAAATTCAACCATATATCAGACCAAATGGAATATTACACTCATCACCCAGCTTCAAAAATGACCAACTTATAGATGTTATTTCACTGAGATTCACATTCACTTCTTTATTTTCATATTACTTGGAAGCCACTTCCTGAATCAAAACACGTAAACTAATAGTATATGAGTATCTTTTAAAAAAATATACTATTATCATATGTAAAACCAAACAGTAAATCTTTAATATCGATTTGAATCTCTCTGATCAGTATCCATATTTCCAGTGGTCTTAAAAGTTTTGTTTATATAGTTTTAACACCCATGTAGAATCCTTATGTTTTAGTTGTTTGATCTCTCAAATATCTGATAAAAATCAAAAGTGTAATATAGTCTCTTCTCTTTTTTCCAGTAAATTAGTTGGATTTAGAGGTTAGAGGTTTGGTCACATTTGGTTTGAGTTGATTTTTAAAAATGTTTTGTCAGAATTATAATAGATTTATAGATCATGTTTTCTTTCATCAGAAATGTACATGGTTAGCTCTCTTTTTTGTGATATTAGCCATGTATATGCAGTGCATGAATTTATTAGTAATTCAGTAGGTTGTTTTTTGTTTTTTTATTTTGAGACAGGGTCTCACTTCAATCTGGCCTTGAACTCTATGTACCCAAGGCTGGTCTTAAGCTTGAAGCATTCCACCTGCTTCAGCCTCCCAAGTGCTGGGATTACAGGCATTTGCCACCACACCTGGCTAGATGATATTCTAGTTTTGTAATTTTGTTAATTCATTGTAAAGAGAAACATGTTATGCTACTATATATTTACTTCAGTTTCAGGAAGGAATTATAGGAAAAATCAGATTTAATGTTCAGTTCTTTTTAGATACATGAGTGTTCAAAACGACTTGATTTTCTGTGACATAAGATTCTCTAACATTCAAGGTAATTAAACTGAGGTTATTTAAAAAAAGAATTATGAATTCATGGATGTGTGTGTGTTTGATTTATATCTGATGTATTTCAAGCAATGATATACCATTGGAATTCTTAAGACTCAATTTTAATTTTTCAGTTTGCTTTTTAAGCATGTAATTATATTTCACGTTTCTTTTTAAATCCTCCAAAAAAGTTTACAATGTTATTAACAAGTTTTAATTGTTTTTTTGAAATATAATTGACATACAGTAAATTGCACATATTTAAAGTATACAGTTTGGTAACTTTTGCTGTTTCTTAACACCTGTGGAACTGTCACCACAACCAAGATAGTGAACATCTACATTGCCCCTTAAAGTTTACTGGTTCTCCTTTGTAATCTTTCTTACCTGTTTACCCCACCATTGGCACTACTGACCTATTTATTATCTGTCATTGTAAAATAGTTGGCATTTTTTAGAATTTTATATAAATTAAATCATGTAGTATATACTTTTTTTTTCCTTTTGGGTTTTTGAGTTAGGGTCTCCCTATGTAGGTTGGACCAGTTTTGAACTCACTGTGTAGCCCAGGCTAGACTTGAATTCACAGCAATCCTCCTGCCTCAGCCTCTCAGGTGCTGGGATTACAGGCATGCACCAAATGCCCAGCATCATGTAGCATATACTTTTGCCTAACTTCTTCAGCATAATTATTTCAGTCATGTTGTGTATATTAGTAGTTCATTCCTTCTTATTGCTAGTTAGTATTCCATTGTTTATACTGCAATTTGTTTATTCACCTGTTAAAGAACATTTGGATTATTTCTAGATTTTGGCTTACAAAAATAAAGCTGCTGTGAACATTTGTGTGCAGTTCTTTGTATGGACATATGCTTTCATTTCTCTTGGATAAATATGAAGGAGTGGAATGGTTAGATCATATGGCCCTTGCATATTTTACTTTTTAAGAAACTACCAAACTGTTTTCCAGCATAATTGTCCTGTTTTACATTGTAACCAGCAGTGTATAAAAGTTTCAGTGTGTCTACATTCTTGTTAACACTTGATGTGTGATCAGTTTTTGCTATTTTAGTGTAGTGGTATCTTATCATTATCTTGATTAATGATATTGATTATTTTTCATGTGCCTTTTTGCTTTCTCTGTCCCTTCCTTGGTGTTTGTTCAGTTCTTTTACCTTTTTTAAAAAATGGGTTATTTTCTTAATTTTGAATTTTGAGACTTCCATATATATGTTTTATATAAGTTCTTTATTATATATGTGATTTAAAATATTTTTTTCTCTAGTCTTTAGTTGGTCTTTTCTTCATATGGTACTTTTTATTCTAAAAGTCTCTAATTTTGATTAAGTATAAATTTCTGCTTTGTTTTCTGGAGTGTGTCTTGCTGTTGTGACTAAGAAATCTTTGCTAGCTCCAGGTTATAAGAATTTTTATCTAGAAGTTTTATAGTTGTAGATTTTACATTTATATCTGGGATCCAATTTGAATTAAATTTTGTATGTAGTGTTAAGGTGTCTGACTTGGCAAATGGCTATCCAAAGATTCTAGCATAGTTTGTTTAAAAGAAGGTCATGAACACATTTTCCTGTGTCCATCACTTAGCATGTTCACTTGAAATTCACATGGGAGCTCTTAGGCTGCTCTGTTTTAAAGTAAAATATAAACATACATGACTACTTATGTATTGATTTTAAAAGGAAAGAAATAAATGAAAAAGATTGTTTTATAATTTTTAAAAAATAAAACCCTTCTTGGAAAATGATAGATTGGATAGAAAGATTTATTTTGTACCCACACTCGTAGGCAGTGATTAAGAGGAAGGAATATTGGAAACTTGGTCACAGCCAGGACACATTGGTGGTTTTTTGAGACATACCAATTTAATTATCAGTTTAAATGTCCATACTGTTCCTTATCTTTATCACAAATTTGCCAGCATTTTGAGCTTGGAACAGGGCTCACAACATCCCTTTTTCTTTCATGATCAGCCCTGCCTTCCCTGAAGGAGATGCTTTGAGAACAGTGAAAAGTGCTTATTTTTTGTCCTTTATATGGTACCTTTGACTTCCTTCTCTTTTGTCTTGTGACACCTGAGGTTGGGGAGACACTCTAGGATCATATGAACTTAGACATTTCCTTATTGTGTTATTTCATCCAACTTGGAGAA